AATAATTTATATAAATATTTTCAACATGATATTCAATAAATTCACAGTTATTCGGAAAAAACTCTGGCGTCTGTCAATTCTATAATACTGATGATCATGTTAGTTCCAACTAGAGGAGACTCAATTGCACCATCAGCCTAATAAATCACGATGCCCAGTTATTTGACTTCATACGAGATGGCTTTTCACCACCGCTTAGAGTCATGATCCTTAAGCCTGGCAGGAATCTTCTATCGGCCTGAAGTATTTTTCCAGTGAGTAGTAAGTATAGAAAATACCCAACCTGGGCGGTTTGGCTTTTGCGTAATCATTTGTGGAGTTTATTCATTAGCAGTGAAAAACTGCTTGGCTGAAAAGCGACCCTACGCATGTTTCTGGGGCCTAAATAACGCCTTAAGTTCCAGTGACAATCTGCTTACCTGAATAAGTTTTGCCACGAGTATAACCCACTTTCTGGTTTTTGATAAACCCTAGGGGAATTGAACGCTCCAGGGAAGGAAAACTGTCATGATTTGCATAAGGGAAGTTTCTCTACCTCTCCTTGTGCTTAGGGCAGGACCCGAATTTTTTCTCTCTTATCCTTATCTACCGGAGGATGTTGTGGAGCATAGATTGAAGAAACTTTAGTATACCATCCCACGATATCAGGGTTAAAAGAAGTATTTTTGGATAGAGGAGATATTTAGATCAAGAATATATATAATAATAGCCGCCGGAAACTTATAGTTTTCAAGATATTTGCATTTTAATTTAAAAATTTTATCTTACCATTTCTCGATTTATAGTTAATTTTTCTTTTATGCACTTATTATACAATAACATCTCATACCCCTGATAGAAAAAAATGTTGCACCCGGCACAATCATTTGCACTGATTGTTGGAAGGCTTATGATTGTTTAGCAACTTACGGGTATAAGCATCGTCGCGTAAGCCATAGCGATCCTGACAATAAGATCGTGGCAGAAGACGGGACACATACGCAATCAATAGAGTCCCAGTGGCGGGTTATAAAGAGGTTTTTCACCAGAGATAACTACAAGTATAATAATCCGGAAAACTTTGCGGATTTGATTATTAAATATGTTTGGCGAAAAAATATAGCAAAAAGGTATGAGGATCCTTTTGTTAAATTGATTAAGGGAGAATTCATACATATAAGCCATAAAACAATTTCGTTTTATTTTATTGGAATAATTTCTTAATATTTTATTTTTATAGGTTTTGGATTCATGTATTTGGGTAACATTCTGTTTTCATTTCTTTCAGCTCATTTACAAAAGATGTCGATAAGGTAACACCGGTTATTTGACGTTTTGCAAAATATATTAGTATGGCAACACTGCTGATTTGACATTTATATTAAATCGAAAAAATACGTACTCTAATTAGTTGAAATTTTCAACTTTAAACGTAAATACCTCGAAAACTATAAGTTTCCATACCCATTTTATCCCCGAAAGCCTGGGACGGTATACTAATGTTTTCTCCTGATAATTATTGATCGTGTAGCAATCGCTCTAGAACCACCAATCACAAATATGTATCACGACCGAAATATCACAAAAAAAAGTTAAACGCCTGAGCAGTAGAGCTGCAAAATAATTGACCGGATATCAATATTATCGTGGTTTTCTTTGCATCTCAATATAGATAGTTTATTTTGACACTATCAATAGTTTATTTATAATCACATAAGGCAAGGATGACATATTGCGAGACTCTCTCATTTTCGCTGATTCTTCTGTTATTAAGATTAGGGAATATCGAACAAAAATAATAAAACGATCATCATAAAACCATGATATTTTATTATGACTTGTATTGTATATAACAGAAAAATAAAGTATTTTATTTAAAAAATTTGGAATTGCTTATGGTAACAAAGAGGTAACCTATACGCTAACATGAATTTCTTAATAGCAAGAAATGGCTACTAAATACCATAACATATCGAGGTAATAGTTATGCGTGTTAAAGCAAACATGTTTTTATGTTAAAGGTAACAACTGCTAACCAATCAATAACATCAACAGAAATTTAGGTAACAATTACTTTAGTTATGGATAACACATAGGCAACCTATTCACTGACAGAAGTATTTGTTACCTTTAACAGACTGTAAACAGATTTGATAACAATGTATCTCATTCTCTTAACCAAGGATAAAATTATACGAAACTCTTTGAATCCAGAGAGTGCTGTCAAAGGCCACATTTTTTATATTATAACATTTGACAGTGGTGCCACTAAGGAAAGAAATACATTTTTTAATTTTTTAAAGTATTTCTTGGCTATTTTTTGGTTTCCATATAACAGAATAATATACATAATTAATATAAGTTTAAACAAACTTAATATCCTATATGCGGTCTAAATATAGCCATATATTTTCATCACAATGATTTTAAAAATCAACTTTATAAAATATTTTAATATATCAAAACACTTACAAGTTTTAAATAACCTAAACATGAATATTACTTTTGTTTATACTCAATAATCAAATATCATTTGATAATTTATTCGCAAGTCAAAGTTTACAAAACATAAGCTGGACATTCTAACCAAAGTATGTATATACGTTGACTGGTACTGCAAAGCAAAACAATACTTTGCGACAAAATAACCGCTTTTTCTTACAATCAAAACTATATTAAATCTCTTTAAATAAAGACTAGCAACACACGTCACTAAAAAATATCTGATCTCACAAATAACCCACTGATATCGGAAATTATTTCTCCGGGATTCTTAGTGGTAGTTCGTTGTTTTGCTTGTCATCTGTTCAGTAGCTCATGAACTCGTGGTTAAAAAACTAAAAGTTCATGAGCTCTCTCAGAAGGCAAAGAGATGAGTTTCGGATCATTTTATTCATGACATCCAATATTAATGTCCAAATGGCGATGTGTTACATTTTCCCACTCTCTGCACATAAGGAAAAATAGTTTAATAACAAGTCGTTGACACGCTTGCAGCAGGGATAATGGGATGCCCAACTCTTTCCAGTAAGAGAGCGCCTCAAAATTAGCGTTTTTTATAACATTTTGCATTGTAGCCAGATCAGTCAAAATAATAATTTTGGGGCATTTCCGATATCAGTGGGTTATTTGTGAGATCAGATATTTTTTGGTGACGTGTGTTGCTAGTCTTTATTTAAAGAGATTTAATATAGTTTTGATTGTAAGATAAAGCGGTTATTTTGTCTACAATGAAAAATGTTATAAAAACGCTAAATTTGAGGCGCTCTCACACTGGAAAGAATTGGGCATCATATTGTGACGAACACGGATGATAGAACAAAATCGAATCAACGATAAACTGCCAGAAGCAATGTTTTGTTACAGATTTACTATATAAGGGCTGCCGGATTGTGCAGCAAACACAGTTCTAGCAGAGAACGTATATTATAGAGAAGGTTCAATTGCGGACCAGCATGTGAATTGTCAAAACCTAACAAGATTTTAATAGTGGACTTCACCACTTTTGGCTCGGAAGGAGAAATTTTAACAGTGGAGAGTGAACAGAGCTGAGCATTGTATGAAAATTATGCTCAGAGACTTGCTTTGATATTACAGCTGCATGTTAGCCTTTTGGCTTATATTCTTATACGCTTATATGCAAACATATTTATTGATATGAATATCATTTTACGAATTTTTATGAATGCATGCAAAACTGATAAGACTCTAATTAATTAATAAAATCTAAATATAATAATAGAGATTAAATTTATTACAATATATGTATATGTACATATGGACATCTTTTATCATATTAATCTTATATATAATCATATGAATATCTGCACAAGCGCATTTGAATGTGCGGATTCAGAAATTGAAATCATAATTTTATCATATATCAACACAATATATGTGCGCGCATTGATTTATATGTACACGCATATATGTATGTAGACATAAAATTGCCGAACAAATAATGCATACACAAACCAACATACATACATATGTATATGCGTACACATGTAAATATGTCCCCCGCAAAAACTTCAAACATTGTTTTACAAAAACAACAATCGTCACAAGTCAATATGTCAGCCAAATAGGCGAAGCCCAAATTTATAGTAAATTGCACAACAACATTTTCATTTATGAACGCAGGCGTAGTTTTAATAAGCAACCTCGCTTCATTCATAAAATCAGATACCCTCACATCTCCCCGAGCATGCTTTTGTCTACAAGCGTCTTTTCACGACGATGGCAAAAGCTAAAAATCATAAATTGAACAAATTTCTGATATTCCCTCTAGAAGGGAAAAGTGACAGCCCCTCAAATATGAGTATTAAAATATTTTAGAATAAAAGTGACAACATAGTATATTTGTCGATTTACAATTCAAGAAACTTTTTAAAGAAAATATTCAATATTCCTCTGATTTATATATACAGTAAACCCCGGTTAAATATCACTCCTCCAATCCCTCTTATCTGCCTGTGTCTTGCTGCATCACACGTTTTTTTTCTTAATATTTTAAGGAAAACGTTAATTTTGTTTTAAATACATAGAAATTATTTTGTTTGGTACCACTCGCTTAAGTACCACAATCGCTTATGTACTACAAAGCACAAAAAATCTCCATCTTTGGTTTTGGCACTTAACCGGGTTTGACTGTATTTGTCAAAGAATGTGCGTATGTAAATATTTCAATTTTTTGTACACACATCTGCCCGTATATATGCACATGACCTGTTGACTTTGTTTCCATTTACGCATGCCACGTTGTATATGAATAAGGGTTGATTTTGCACTTGTCATATGCGATGTATGTTTGTAAAAGTGAGTATGGTTCTGTTGGTCAAAGTTATGTAAGTTTTTTTTTGGCATATTGGCATATGCACGAAATTGTATTCCTTCTAAAGTAAAGACAACTTTATTGTTTTAAAATAAAATATGTAACTTTTATTACTTATATTTTTCTTAAAACTAACAATTGAAGGTTTTTTATAAAATTTAAATAAAAATTAAGTACAATTTTAAAATATAAAAACTGATTTACGAAATTTTCCATTTCAAATGGAAATTTCTCACACGACTTAACAATTAAATTAAGTCAATTAATTTCACCTGCTTTTTTAAACACAATTTAATCCATCTTGATTAAGTGCAATATTAATGTTTAAAAAAGCTAGGCTCAGTTGAAACAGTAATAAAAAGAAAAATGAAAAAAACCTGGAAATATAAAATAAAATTGAAATTAGAAGAAAAGCTGAAAATATAAAGGAGCTGAAAAGAAAAAAAGAACCTGTAAATAGAATAAATAGCAAAACATTAAAAAAACGTAAATATTCTCTTCATTTGGTTAGTTCATTACTCACCCGAAAGTAGAATGTTCGTTAATGAACAGGCTCTGACTTGCAACTTACTAAAGTTTTTTTTATTTTATCATCGCGCTTCCGATGTCGTTCCCTATTTATTTCGTCTTTCACCAACCATTTTGAATTTTTAAACAGAAGAACGGTCACTAAATATTCCAAAAGTTTGGTTTTATGAGCAGAACACCCATCGGACTTATTAAACCATTCAGGAAAAACCCGTTCGGTTCTTTGTTGTATAGCAGACAACATCAGACAACGAACATTAGAATAATGAGCATATTCGTTGAAGAGCTTGACGTACCACATCATTTGCAGTCGACACACTTCGAAGACCTCTCGCAAAGTATACCATACTCGTTTTAGATTTCACCTATTTTCACACCGTCGATAAAGATGCTAAAAGCGGACGGACAGACAGTCACCCGGATTTCAACTCGTCTCTTCATCCTGATCATTTATGTATATATATCTTCCTATATCTTACTCAATTATTTTTATGTGATACAAACAATCGTTAGACTTTGCACAGCAGTTTTAAAAAACCATGGATACTTCACTAAATATTAATGTAACACCAACAATAAATATTATTGTTTTACCATTATCGCACATCACTGTATATACTTATATTAGAAGTATCAGCAAATATACTAATGTTTATATATGTACACATGTTAATATATGTATGTATGTATATAAACATTAGTATATTTGCTACCAAAATTATACTCTCAATATACACACATGCCTAGTTACACATACAACTGTATGGATGTAATATATTATATTGCTACCATACTAATAATATATTATAAATTATACACATGTTTCTAATTAAAATAAAGTTTTGAAGTTTTTCTAATCCTAATAAAGTTATCAAATGTATATTTATATAAACTACTCTATATAATTTTATATTATTGAAAGAAGAAAAACTTACCAAGGTTGAGGGTGGGCACAGCATGTGCCTTCAATTTTCTCACGCCCACTGCACTTCGCTCGAAGTGTTTAATGCAAACGAATGCATTGTGGGCGGGTAAATCCAGCGGTGGTGGGATTTTCAGGTTTTCCACCCACTTTTGGAGGTCCTCCTCGTTTTTGGGAAACGAAAACAATCTTTCTGATTCTGCAACACATTCGCGAACGCGACACTTCCTTTTAACTAACATTTATATTATATTTATACGAAAAATAGTAAACCCACAACGGGTTTAAAACTAAAATTCCGTTGACCCTTCCTCCTTTTCATTCATTTTGGCGTAATTTCCCCACTAAAACATATATTAACTACAATTAGAAAAAAATTTAACTACTTGCGCTTTGTACAAGTACTTTTCCAATCAAAAACCACCTGCATATATTGTCAATACACATGTGTTAACTTATGTGGTTCGTTTTGGCGGGATTTCCCCATTAAAACATATATTAGAAAAAGTTAGAAAAAAGCACCTGCATATATGGTAATACATATATATATACTAGCTTTTCCCTTCATTGGCTGTCTCTCATATATATTTTTCTTTTATTAGCATTATTTTTCTCATTTAACACTCAAAATGCTCAGTTATGTTATTTTGCGCTCCGCAGGGGTAAAATTCTGGTGAAATCCCCTTATAATTTGTTTGTGGTGAGATCCTCTTAAGTCGGCGAGTAACCCTCCGTCAGGAGGAACATTTTGACAATCGGCACACCATGAACCTTCTCTATGATATACGTTCTCTGGTTCTAGTTAGAGTGTTGTCGTGATAAGAGCAATTAAGCTATAAGCAAGAAGTTGTAAGCTCGAATAACAAGCAATAAGTGTTAAGTTGTTGGAATT